GAAATCACCGCATAATAACTTCATTATCTATTTCATCAAATAAATCTTTCTCAATGTATGTGATAAGACTATCATTCATCCACTGGTCTCCCATCCGATTACGCAACCGATTCTTTACAATACTCATTGTAGAAAATGTTCTCTCCACGGTAGCTGTTGCAACTGGTAAGACTAATTCCAATGTGAGCAACTGATAAACTAATGAATAAACTTTATCTTTAGCTGTCATCACCATGTTTAGTGCAAGATCACTAATATTTGTTAGTTCAACAAACGTAGTATCTGAACGCATATCAATGATGTAATTTTGAAGCTGGTCCTCAAGAACAACAAGATTAGTAGTTGAAAAATCTCTAGGATAAAACTGGGCGAGACGAATAACTTTTTGTCTTTCAAAAGTAGCAAATGGGTTGCTTGGATTGAGGCATGCTACACAAAGAAGCATATCTATACTTGTTTCGGTAAAACGATTGTTCAGCTCCTGAAGTTGCATATCAATGACAGTGTAAAAAACCTCAACACGATAACAGTGCAAATTTGTGATTGGCTAAGATTTTCGTCTTTCCTCCCTCGAATCGAAAATATAGCATCCATCTCAAGCATTTCAATATCATGCTTATCACAAAAATTTGAAACTTGATCTAGCATTGAATCCCAACTTGATTCTCTCATTTTTTGTAATCTTTCTTTACAAATCCTGACCAATTTCATTGCATTAACGATATCTTGATCTTTTCTCTGTAATGCTCGAGACAATTCATTTGTGATTCCCAATATAACTTTCATAAGACGCATATGAAAAATGAAATCAAATGTATGAATCGAATTTATTAGAACCTTTGGTTCATATTTTTGTTCAGAAGTTGACCCATCCTCTACAATTCCTCGAGTACATCACCAATTGATGAAAACATTGTAATAAAGCTGACTAGAGTATTGTAATATGAGCCCCATCGTGTATCTCTTAGTTGTTTAATCGTTGTTTCTTGATTTAGTCCTTGTCCACTTGGTATCTCACCATTATCCAAAGCTTCGAGAGTTATAGCATTATGTTTTTCTCTTAAAATATCTCGACGTTTTGTTGATGCCTCAATAACATTTACCACATTTGCAACTAACAAAAAAAACCACTTATCTCTATATGATTTTTTGCAATAGCTACGAAAGCTAATTGGAGTTGATGAGAAAAACAATGACGGTAAAATGCACATTCATTTTCTCTCAAAATTAATGCTTTCAATCCATTGAATTCACCCTGCATATTGTTGCTCCATCATATTTTTGTCCTCGTAAACTAGCAATGCTTAACCCATGTTTAGAAAAGAATTCATCAATAGCTTCCTTAAGTGACACAGAATTTGTAATAGTAACATGTACAATACCAACAAATCGTTCAATCACATGTCCTTTGTCCACATATCTCAACACAATCGACATCTGATCTTTCGATGATATATAATTTGACTAATCAATCAACATTGAAAAGAACTTATCACCAATATCTCTTATGATTGCATCAACAATTTCTATTGCAATACAATTCACAACATCTTTTTGTATATCTGGAGCAAATAGTTTCACATTTGTAGAAGCATTTCTCAAAGCAACATCTTCAATATTCTTATTGTGATTGCATAACCACCGTAGGAGTTCAAGAAAATTCTCTTGATTTTTTCAATCTTCATTTTTGTCATGCCCACAAATGGAAGCCTTTGTTGCAATAAAAATCGAGCAAATCAATTGTTGCACCTAATTGAGTTCGATGATCAATTCTTGCTTGGTCAGACATCTTACTAATAAATGTTTCGATGTGTTTTTTTTGCTTCAAAAGAGCTTCACATTTACTCTAGCTTTGGTTATGCGTACTATTTGGTCCTCCAACATGAGTTTGTAATTTCTCTTTTTCTTCCAATTTGAAAATCCTTCCCCAACAAAATGGTCACATTGTTCTCCAACTTTTTGCTTTAATAAAAAGCAACATAAAGAAAAGGCAACATCTTTCAAAATACTATATTCCAACCAATTAGAATATTCAATAAACCAGGCTATATTAAGCCGTCTTGACTGTGACCCAAATTTCTTCAATGGAAAAGTACGATTTTGAGGCTGGCAAGGTCACTTCCTTTTTGTAAATACGCGCTAAACCCCGAATTGTTAAAGACAACGGTACGCCAAGTACCCCGAGTATCTCCACAATGGTATGATATTGTCCACTTTGGTCATAGCCCTCACGGCTTTGCTTTTGGTTTCACCGAAAAGGCCTCATACCAATGGAGATAATTGTCCTATCTTATATACCCATGATCATTCACTTCTCTAACCAATGTGGGACTTTGTTTGCACTCCTTACAAACCCAATAATCCTCCCATCAAACAAAGTGCCACTTGTATTTTACCTCGAATAGTCATGCACTCATCTACTCCTGGCTATCAATTAGAGCCTACTTCTATCCAGAACTTCTAAATAGATCACTTGCTACACGGACCAACATTGTGGGAACACATGGTGTCGTTGATTCGCACCCTCAATCTCCTCCCCTTGAACAAAGATACCTTCTTCCTATTAGTTCACCCGACTATGATAGGCTTCCTATCAATCTACCCCGACTTGATAGGACATGTCTTGCTCGTCACCTAGAGCACCTTTTGTTCGATTTTGAGATTCTTCCACAAGTTCCGTAATGACTATTAAGCTTACTCATCACTCTTGTTCGACCCTCGAAGATTCCTCCCCCACACAGCTAGGTTTCCATGGCTCTGATACCACTTGTTAAGGATAATGGTACTCCAAGTACCGCGAGTATCTCCACAATGGTATGATATTGTCCACTTTGGGCATAGCCTTCACGACTTTGATTTTGGTTTCACCCAAAATGCCTCATACCAATGGCGATAATTGTATCCTCTCTTATATACCCATGATCATTCCCTTCCCTAGCCAATGTGGGACTTTGTTTGCAATCACCTTACAAACCCAACAATCCTCCCCTCGAACAAAGTATCACCGAGCCTCCCCTCAAGTATGACCAACGAATTACACTATGACCACACCTTCTGAGACTCACCACTTCTTTATTCGGCACTCGAGGATTCACAGATACAGCTAGGTTTAAACCATGGCTTTGATACCACTTGTTAAGAACAATGGTACCCCAAGTACCCC